ACACACACACACACACACACACACACACACACACACACACACACACAAAGAAAGTAGAAAGTCTCAGCAAAAAATAGAAGATATAAAGAACAAAATGGAAATTTTAGAATTGAAAAATTAAATAACCAATATTAAAAACTCAGCAGATGGGCTTAATAACAGAATGGAGGGGACAGAAGAAAGAATCAATAAACTGGGAAATAGAACAATAGAAATCACCAAATCTGAACAGAGATAAACAAGCTGAAAAAAAATGAACAGAACTTGAGGGGCCTGTAGGACTATGCATAGAGCTCTAACAGAAGCCCAGAAGTGGGGCTGAGGGGCTGAAAAGTAACAAAAAAAATAACAGCTGAAAACTTCTCAAACCTGGCAAAAGATATAAACCTACAGATTCAAGAAGCTTAGCAAACTCCAAACAGAATAAACCCAAATAAACTATACCAAAAGGTATCACAGTCAAATTTCTGAAAACTGAAGACAAAGAAGAGATTTTAAAGGCAGTGAGAGAGAAACAATACCTTGCGTATAGAGGAAAAAGCAACTCAAATGACAGCATATTTTTTATTGAAAACAATAGAAGCCAGAAGGTATCAGCACAACATTTTTTATTTCCTGAAAGGAAAAAAAAAAAAAAAAACCACTGGCCACCCCGAATTCTATGTTCAGCAAAAATACCCAGGACTAAAGGGGAAACCAAGACATTCTCAGATAAAGGAAAGCTAAGAAAATGTGTCACTAGTAGACATAACCTAAAAGAATGTTGAAAGGAAGTTATTTAAACATAAATAAAATAGTAAAAGAATGAAACTTTGAACATCAAGAAGGGCAGCACTTTGAGAGGCTGTGGCCAGAAAAAAGAACCTGGACCTAAATTTTCCTATACCAAAGTTAGCTCAAAATGCATCATAGATATAAAACAATCTTTCAGGGGAAATTAAAAATTAGGAGAAAACCTTTTTTTTTTTCCCAAGAGCATGTATGTTATGTGATTCCATTTATGTAACATTCTTGAAATGATGGAATAGCACAAGTAGGGCAGAGGCGTGTGATTGTTGGGGTGAAGAAGGGAAGTGTCGTGGCCATTTAAAGGCAGCCTGAGGGATCTTTATGGGGCTGGGATGGTCTCCATCTTGGCTTGTCAATGTCAGCATCCTGGCTGTGACATTATACGACACTTGTGCAAGATGTTTCCATGGAAGAAGGTGGGTAAAGGCTACATGGGATTTCTTAACGTTCTTTCTTAAAACTACAGGTGAATCTACAATTACCTCAAAATAAAAGGTTTAATTTTTAAAGTCACAGGTCAGTCCCAAGACCAAACCTGTGGCAGAGAGTAGACATTGAAAAGAGTATGGGAAGCTGGGAAGTGATGGAGGAGCTTTAGGGAGGGACAGGCAGCAGGTCATCCAGACCAGAACAGTCAGGGGCTGAGCGAGGTTGCCCATGTAATTGTCCTTGTCACTTGTCCACTTGATAGGGTGAGGGCAGGGCCCCCCATTGCTGAGAAGACACAGGAGCAGGCACATCTATGTGAAGAAGGAGGAGAGACAGTGGCTAAAAAACCAAACCAGAAGAATGCAAAGTCAAGCCAGGCAGCTTTGCATCCTTACTAGAAAGTATGCACACCCATGCGTGCCCAG